TATGGCACTCCATGGCACCCTTGAAAGAATCTCAAGGCACCCCAAGGTACTATGGCACCCTGACTGAAAATCACTGCTTTACAGATGACTTGGGGGTCATCATTGACCACAAGATGAACATGAGCCTGCAATGCGATGCAGCGGCTAGTAAAGCGACCAAAACGCTGGCTTGCATCCATAGATGCTTTTCAAGCAAATCCCGGGGCATCATTCTCCCCTTGTACTTGGCCTTGGTGAGGCCACAGCTGGAGTACTGCGTCCAGGTTTGGTCTCCACAATTCAAAAAGGATGTGGATAAGCTTGAGAGAGTGCAGAGAAGAGCCACGCGCATGATCTCCACAATTCAAAAAGGATGTGGAGAAGCTTGAGAGAGTCCAGAGAAGAGCCACGCGCATGATCAGAGGTCAGGGAAGCAGACCCTACGATGACAGGCTGAGAGCCATGGGGCTCTTTAGCCTGGAAAAGCGCAGGCTCAGGGGTGATCTGATGGCCACCTATAAGTTTATCAGGGGTGACCACCAGTATCTGGGGGAACGTTTGTTCACCAGAGCGCCCCAAGGGATGACGACTAAGTCGAACGGTCATAAACTACTACAAGACTGTTTCAGGCTGGACATAAGGAAGAATTTCTTTACTGTCTGAGCCCCCAAGGTCTGGAACAGCCTGCCACTGGAGGTGGTTCAAGCACCTACATTGAACACCTTCAAGAGCAAACTGGATGCTTATCTTGCTGGGATCCTATGACCCCAGCTGACTTCCTGCCCTTTGGGCAGGGGGCTGGACTCGATGATCTTCCAAGGTCCCTTCCAGCCCTAATGTCTATGAAATCTATTAAAAACAATGGCACTTCCTTGACTACACCATCATAAGAGCATGTGATCTAAAAGACATTTATATCACACATGTTATGAGAGGAACCAATGACTGCTGGACTGATCATTGCTTAGTGAGATCAAACATGTCCATTAGGGTTGCGGTGACACATCAAAAGCAACCCAAATCAGTCCAAAGACAGTACAACATCAAATGCCTTCAGACCCCTAGATACGGGGAAGCCCTCCAAACATATCTCAGCAAAAAATTCACCTATCTTAGGATTGAAAATGATAACACTTGTGTTGAGGAAGATTGGCAAGCATTAAAGGAGACCATCCATGAGGCTTGCATATAACCAGTTGGCTTAATCACTGAATGCCATCAGGGCTGATTTTACTAAAACAATGCTGAGATCAAAGCCCTTCTCAATTGGAAGAGAAAAGCTTTCTCTGACTGGCAAAAAAGTCATCCTACATCCGCTCAGAAGCAGGGAACTTTTTGATGGCTTAAAACTGAAGTCC